TTCAAGGCCAGCCTGGTCTACAGAGTGAGTTCCAGGACAGCTAGAGCTATACAAAAACCCTGTCTCAAAAAAAAAAAAAAAAAAAAAAAAAAAAAAAGAGGAAAAAAAGGAGACTTAAAAGCAAACTTTGTAACATGGTATCTCTTATTTGAGGGTGGTGTTTCTTGGAATAAGAGGGAATCTAGATTAGAAGAAATAAAACTTCACTTATACTCCTCTTCTCTATATGCTCCTTCACCTACTTGGTTAAGTGAGCAACTCTGTTTTGGTGGTATCTTTGGTCATCATCTTTATCCTGCCTGATGTCTGGTCCCTCAGCTGCTCTGCCACATCAGACACACAACCATTACCCCTAAGCCTCACATGTCCAGTTATCTGTCCAGCAGCTTCCCAAAGGTTGAGTCATGTCCCACGATTAAGTCATTCCTGACTGAGAAATGGCTCACCCACACCTGCTTGTCAGAGTTCAGAAGGCAGTAGGGCTCCTTAAAGAGTTTCTTTCCCCTTAACAGAAAGAGATAAATTCAGACCTTCCCTTTCTTGGCAAAGCTAGAGAGAAGAGTTGGTGTTCCTGTTTTGTATGTTCTCACATATTACAAACCCCTTTGTGGTGTCCTCTAAACAGGATCTTAATTCTGCCTTCAAAATTGTTTACTTATGGGGCAGAAAAGATGGCTCCATAGTTAAGATCACATGCTGCTCTTGCAGAAGACCTGAGTAGCTTCCAGCTCCTTTGCAGGTTCACAGATTCCTATAATTTCAGCTCCAGGTGATCCAATGCCCTCTTTTGGCCTCCACTAACACCTTCACATAAGTACACACACATACATAAATTAATTTTTTAAATTAAATCTTTTAAAATAATGTTTATTTGTAGCTCAACTTCCTTTCCTACACCATATCAGAAGTTTCAGAAGGAACATTCTGTCTGTTATTCCATGTTTGACATTTGTAGTATCTCTATTAGTTTGTTTAAGTGTACAGGTACACTGTGCACTGTCTTTAAACAAAACTATCCGAAACAGGCTGGACAGGAAAGAACACAGGGGACCTCTTAGAACTCCAGACTCCTTCATGTCCTCTTAGCCCCTCCCTTCCACCTAGAAGGAGACTCACTGAGAACAGAAATTGCAGATATTCAGAGGGAAACACGTCCCACGGGAGAAGAACAGGCCCCAGCAGGCCAAAGGCACCCCACCTGCCTAAGGGAAAAAAAATAAGGAGAGCTACCCAAGCAAGGCCAGTTAGAGGAGATTTCAGATGGTTTATGGAAAAGCAAGGCCCATCACAACCGCTTGCTAGATAACTCTGCTGCAAATGTGAGTGAGCAGATCTGATCCCTGGGATGGAATAAAGTAATAAATATGGGATTTTTAGAATCCAGAGGACCTGTTCTGCTGGTTACTAATAGGAGAGATAATGCCCCTCACTGGGCCCCTTCCTCATAGGTAAAACTGGAATGGTAATACCTACTATTCCAGACTATGAAAATTAAAGTCCTTGAGAGAGTGTCTGGCATGGAGTGAGCAACGTGAAGTGTATGCTATTGGAAAATGGGGTGAACCACACACCCCACTGGAGCAGAGTCCTGAATGTTACCTATTAGCTTTATACTTATGTGCAAATTATTTACTCTCTTCAAGCCTCAGTTTCCTTCTCTATAAAAGAGGAGTTAACCCCTAGTACTTGTTGTAGAGATTAAATAAAATTAAGTGAGTAATATATGAAAATCACTAAGCAGTGTGCAGGACCATCCATTCCACATGCAATAAATGTTTGTTACCATTATTATTTATTATTTTTTAAAATGATTATAAAACTTATAAATGAACGGTATTTAGCTGGTATATAGTCTTCATTTTTATTTGTTTATTCTATTTGGTAATACCAAAAAAAGAATGGGATTTAAAAATCTACCTTACCAAAAAGAATCATCAGAACCTGAAATCATTCTTGTTTTAAAAAATTAATTTTATTTTTAAATTGTGTGTGTCTGTAGGTATGTGCACATGAGTACAGATGCACGTGGAGCCTGGAAGGTGGTGGTTAATTCCTACCATTGTTTTTTACATTTCAGAAATTTATAAGCCATAGATTTGAAAATATAGGCCTAGTCCAACAGTCATTTGTTTAAGAGGGTTTATACTGAGACCATAATCAAATGATCAGAACTCGTCACTAAACAGGATAAGAATGAACAAAATAATGTTTATCAATACACAGAAGAATTGTCATAGAAGAGCAATATAAGGGATGAAATAGGAAGGGTGTCATTTGAAAGACAAATATTCTTTAAGGCAAAGACAGCCCACCTACAGTTCTAGGGCAAACTAACCGCCACTGATTAATGCCACCACAGGCTGAAACAACAGGACAGCAGTTCCGATTGGGAACGTAAAGCGAATTTCAGTCACTTTTAAAATTAAGTGGCTATTTTTCTTTGAGTGGCTGGGAGGTAGGGAGGACATGAGAGGGGGTTGAGGGAAGGTAGCTGGGAGGGGCGGGAGGGGGCAAAGGGGATTGGAAAGTGTAACTATTTCTATTAAAAACATATTTCATGAGAGTATAAAAACTGAAAATAAATTGAATGACTCATCCAGGTTGTTCCTTATAAACACCATAAAGTAAATAAGGCTTGAAACTGCTGAATAAGTTTACAAATGGTGTAGAAACACCAGAATCTGAAAATTTTTCATAACAGAGGATTTCAAAAGCTAACTTATCCACGACCTCTCATAGGGAATTGATTCACTTTCTTCAGCTCCTATGGAAACAAATGAGAAATATTCAATAAAAACTCATATACACACACAGAGCTCTACCTTAAGAAAACCTTCGGAAGCAGCAACTGATCCCATCTGACATGGTAGTGGGGTCTCAGTAAGTGGTACTGAGTCACAGAGGTAAGGAAAGGACAGCAGACTAGAAGACAAAACTTGCTGCACCTATAACCGTGACACACCAACCAGCTCACTGATCCCTGTAAGACAATATGGACTGGCCATCTCCAAACTATTCCCACCATAAAATTAAAGGCAAAACGTCTCAAAAATTCCAGGGTTTTCTTTATAGGGAACACAAAATTATGAAGTTGGTTTTCTCTATAACTTTCTCTGTAACAGATGAAGCCAGCATTTAAAAGAAGAAAAAAAAGCCGGGCGGTGGTGGCGCACGCCTTTAATCCCAGCACTCGGGAGGCAGAGCCAGGTGGATCTCTGTGAGTTCGAGGCCAGCCTGGACTACCAAGTGAGTTCCAGGAAAGGCGCAAAGCTACACAGAGAAACCCTGTCTCAAAAAACAAAAAAAAAACAAAAAAAAAAAAAAAAAACCCTGAATAATAAGAAATTTCTAACTCAAGGACTGAACTGAGAAAGCTTGTATTTTATGCAAAAGTAGCATTGGTTGTGTTACTCGAACGCATTTGGAAAATTCTAAAACCAGGGGAAATGTTTGGCTATGGGATCCAGAACTCCTCTCTTCAGTCCAGTCCCTAAACTACAGATTTGAATTTCCCTAACTCAAACTTCCAAAATCTGAAATGCTCCAAAATGCTAATCTTTTCAGGTCAAACATGACACCACAAGTGGAAAATTCTACATCACAGACTGTTTCATGTACAAAGTTATTATAGATATGGCAAACAATTATTTTTAGGCTATGTGTATAAAGTCTACATGGAAGATGAACAAATTTTGTATTTTAGGGTTGGGGATTTAGCTCAGTGGTAGAGCGCTGGCCTAGCAAGCGCAAGGCCTTGGGTTCGGTCCTCAGCTCCGGAAAAAACAAACAAAAAACAAAAAAACCAAAATCAAAAAAAAATTGTATTTTAGATGTAGGTCCTATCCCCAATATATCTCATTATATATTTGCAAATATTCCAAATTTTTTTAAAAAAAGAGAGAAAGTGGAAAAACTTATTGTCCCAAGTGTTTTATATAAAAGATGCTCAATTTGCATATTTCCTAAATCTCTTCCCCACCAAACCATAAGTCTAACCATATCCTTCTCTGCTTAAAATGTTTCCTAATGCTTCTCTAATATCAATAGGATGAAGTACAAATTTTAAATTTCAACATAAAATACACTTCACAGTTTGATCCAGTCTATATTTCAGTTTCCACTCCTTTTAATCTATTTCCATTACATTTTAATTTACTGCACATAAGTCATTTACTTCATAGGCTTGTTCTTTGCAGTTTCAGAGACTTTTATATAATTCTCTGCTTGACCACAGTATTGTACTTCCTGTTTACCTGTCACTTTGTCTCTTAAAGGCTCAGCTCAATGACTGCTTGTTTTATGAAGCTTTCCAAGATTTCACTGGGTAGAGTATTTTGTTCTGTTTAGGCATGGACACAGCATTTTATAAGCGTTCTCACTTATAGCATTAGATATTTGTTCACATGTCCATTCACAATAACAAATCAGACTAGAAAGCAAGAAAAATTATTATTATCATCCCTAGTTCAGGATATAAAATCTGGCTTATAATAGGAATTTTATAAATATTTGTTTATCCCTGCAATTACCTTCAAGTCATTTGCTATGCAATTCCTTGAAACTATTAAATGAATTAAAGTATTTTAAAATTACTTCAGCCAAAATAGTTTGAAACATGTTGATTTTGCTTTCTATTTTTATCCATCTCTTTAACCAACCATCATTCTATGAATTATACAAATATTTTCACCGACGTTCAGTGGCAATCCTGTAATACAGAGCTCTTCCATCGTAAGATACAGAACTACTTACTTCTATATTTGGGAGAGTTATTGTCACCTGTTCACCTTTGCCAACTTCAAGATTCCCTTCACAAGAAGTATCAATAGAAGCTGGTTTGAAGTCATCTAAAAACAGATACAAATATCAATTTTTATAAGATAGAACAACGCCCTGCTGTGACAGATACTGACAGAAGCAACCGAGAGAGGATTATTGGATTCCCTGGTGTTTTCGTTTTAATTCTTTTTATTTAATGTGTATGGACGCTTTGCTTGCAGGTATGTATGTGCACCACCTGTGTGCAGGAGCCTGAGGAGGCCATTGGATCCCTTGGGACTGGAGTTCCAGACAGTTGTCGATTACCAGGTGGGTGATGGGAACCAGACCCAGGTCCTCTGGAAGAGCAGCCAGTGCTCTTAGCTGCCAAGCCCCTTGGGCCACTATTTTAGAAAGTACAATCCATCACAGCAGGGAAAGAGTGTCACAGTCTGTGCTGATCAAAGAACCTTCACTATAAACATAATTAAATCCTATTTTAAATAAGTGTAATTCCTGATATTTACTTACCCTAAAGCTTTACTGTTTTTGGTGGGTGGGCCCACTCGAATAGAGAACAATCTTTCTGTAGTCACTACTTATAAGCTTATTTTGTAATAATAATAAATGGTTCAGCTCCGGAAAAAAATAAATGGTGTCACTAAAAACAGGAAATTTACCGATTATTAGCCCTTATATAGATATAAAGCTAGTGCTAGCCCAAATCCAAAATTAATTCTAATGTGTTAGTCAAACTCTTCTATGTAGTGAATCTTTGGTGCTAAATCTCACTGTCTTTACACTTAAGTAAATTACATGCATTAGTACTCCTCGTGCATTTATGAATATAACTCATAAAAGCTAATGGTGGTTGTTATTTATTCTTTGCCATGTTCTAAACACTGTGCTAGGATTTTTTAAAGTGCTACCACAATCCCTCTAGAAAAAAAATCTAAAAGGTAGCTATATTAACATTTTCACATATGAACCTTGCAGCTGAAAGTTTAGACAATGCTCTCAAGCTCACATTATATATGCATTTAGTGAAAGTCAGGGTTTACAGCCAGGCTTATCTGAAGCCTTAGTATAAATGACAAGCAAAAGTTATGCTGTAGATAAGTCAAAATACCAGTTTCTTTCAAATAACACTGACTTGAGTATGTATTATAAATTAGGTCCATCTGCCCTGCATAAATGTCAAATTCTCTATTTTATAGTCTCCATTTCTCACTGAGTTATTAAGACCAGGACTCACCCTGGAAATGAACCTGTTCTCAAGTATAATAGCAGGTTTTATTTAAATAAAGCTAAGAAGATTCTTTGTGATACTACACTTAATTCAATAAAAAGAGAGGGGGAAAAAAGACTGAAAACCTTTTTAATACCGTCTGTAAGAGTAAGTGTGGAATCTAAGTTTGTTTACCCTGTGGTTATTATTATCATTGTCTTTTTGCGTATTCTTGTTTGTTGTCATTCTTGTGGCTGGATTATCTGACTCTGGTTTGGAAAATATGACTTCAACATTTTAAGAACTTTTGTAAAGGTGGGGAATGGAGCTCAGTGGTAGAGCACTTGCCTAGTAGGTACAAGGCCCTGCGTTTGATTTCTAACACTGTAATTAATTAATCAATTAACCAAAGAAGCCATAAGTGAAAGTCTCTGAAGCACCTGCAAGGCACTTGTAAGAAACTCTATTTCATTCATTTAATTCTGGATTTTATCTGTAAGAAGAGAATGTATACCTAAGTTATTATATATATATATATATATATATATTATACACACACACACACACACACACACACACACACACACACACACACACACATTGAGGGACTGGAGAGATGGCTCAGCAGTTAAGAGCACTTGTTCTTGCAGAAAACTTGATCATTCTGAACACCAACATCAGGTGACTGACAACCACTGATAACTCCAGTTGCAGGGTGTTTGAGGCTCCCTTGTGGCCTCTGAGGGCACCTGCATACAAGGGAAGCACATACATACACACACTCAGGCCCACACATATACATGTAAAATTGAAAAAAATATATCTATTGTAATCTTAAACTTTGTAGCTTGAAAAATAAAATATTACTGCAAACCTGAGAAGGAAGAGGAAAGGACATGCTACTTGGGAAAAGGGCACTGAGAGATCAGATGAGAACAGTATTTTACTTTTGGAAAATGAAACCGAAGAGAGAGAGAGAGAGAGAGAGAGAGAGAGAGAGAGAGAGAGAGAGAGAGAGAGAGAGAGAACTACAGGACCTGCACAGCACTACTGCTATTTCTGCTATTTCACTGTAGGGAAACTCTGAATTGTCATCCAGGACAAAATAAACAAGTGACACCATTGGAGTTCTTCTGCGGGTAAATCCTGCCCATTTAGTCCACCCAAACATGTTATGTTTGCATAAGAAAACCTTTTTATAAAGTGTAAGTTTGAAGGTTAAAACCATTGGTTCTTCCTACATTTACTCTGAGTTATTATAGCTAGATTGTTTACAACTTAAACTTCGATGATCGAGTTTTAATTGGCTGTTTTCAGAATACCGATTTTATAAGAAAAAGGACAGAATGATTGAGGAAGGGAAAACAATGAGACAGTAAAGAACAGCTGGGCTGGAGAAAAGATGTGAAAAAAAATCAGCTTTATAGTTTGTCACACACACACACACACACACACACACACACACACACACACACACAGAAGAGGTCACGGTTCAGTGATGTTTCCTTTAAGCGCTACAATTCTGAGGCCTATTATGCAAAAAAGAAGTTTTACATACAAAATTATGCTATATTTTTCGTACTGGCATCTATATCATTTAATTACTAAAACAAAAGGGCACATTATAGTCAATTTTCCAACAATATTAAAGATAACTTATTAAAACCCCATCTGTCAATTTTTGATAACCAGTAATTACTTAGCTGATGAACTCTGAGATCCAAAAGCGATACAAACTACTTAGATAGCTGACAGTCTCTCCCCACAAACAAACTAAACGAGACCCCTCATAAGCCAGAGGACAAGTGAAAATGGGGAAGAAATGTCCCTGTGGCTTCTAAACACCATTTTTGCCTTGCATTCGGTCCTTTGTTCCATCTGTCACCTTTCCACTCTGCACTAACCACTTGTCACTCTAGTCTCCACAGCCACCCCTACCGATCTCCACAATACTCCCTCTCCTGTCTGTCAGTCCCTCTGGAATCCGTCCAGGGTTCACCTACACCTGCGGGACGCCAGGTGCCGAAACCGAGGCCGGGAACCGGGTAGTGGATCATGCTGCCATCGGGTCCCCGGGGAGCCAAGGGCCGCGGGGACAGGATTACAGAATTCCGAGGCGGCGGTCTGCCTCCCTAGCACCACATCCCCATCCCAGGAGGTTCCTCCCGGGTATCCCTGGCAGCCCGCACTCACAGCGCACGGTTGTGGAAGGCGCAGCGCGGCTGCTTCTCGAAGCTTTCGCCTAATTTGAGAACCCGCTCGCGACGGTCCAGGGACGCGAGTCCCGCTGGTCCATTCATTCTCGTCCTCTGCCTCCCGCTCGGCCTTCGCCACCGGCTGTCGCAGCTTTCCGAAGCAGCTGCGCGGGGCTGCGAGCCCGAGCTCGGGCCCTGCGGGCTCTTGTTCTCCCCGGCGCGTGCGGCCGCCCCTCGGGGGGCGCCCCGAGTCCTGATTGGCTGCCCGAAGACAGTCGCCCCCGCCCCCTCGCCCGGGGTCCCGCCCCCCCTCGCCTGGGATCCCGCCCCGCCCCTCGCCCCCGCCCCTCGCCCCCCTCTCTCCCGCCCTTAGCCCCCTTCCCGCGTCGCGACGCACGCCGCCCGGCGAACGCCGCCACGCTGAGGTACGCGGTGCGGCTCGGGCCCTGAGGTGGACGAAGACGAGGCGAAGATGAGGTAACAGACCTGGGATGGCGGCTGGGATGGGGTGAGGGCTCCCGGGGAGAAGGGGGCGGGGAGGCTCGGAGGCCAGGCCCACGGACCCAGGGAAGAGGCCGGCGGGGGCCTGGTGACGGGAGGAGCGTGGGCCTCCTCAGCGCCCGGCCCGCAGCTTTGGGAACGGACGCCTGAGGAGGGGCGGCGGCCGGGCCCAGGCCTGGGGCTTCCCGAGGCCTAGTGGCGGCTCTCGGGCGCATTCTGGAGCCCCAAGCCGCGCCCCCTCGGTGCTGCGACCAGACTGGAAGCCACCTGAGGCCTGAGGTGATGCAGTTCCCTTGACGGCCGTATGATTGATTGATTGATGGATTGAAATTGATTTTTTTAACCGGTAATTACCACAAGGCCTTTTTCCCGCCAGGGTTAGGATCCGAGGAGGGGGGCGTTTCCCGAGGGGACCCTGAAGCTTTGGATTAGGGGGGTAACTGACTGCATGAGGTTGCTGGCATTTGTTTCCATCCCCAGTGATTGCGGGAGGCGGTGAAGGGCGCACGGCCCTGGGACTCTTGATTCCTCGAGGATCGGCCTGGCAACAGGGTGAGAGTATATAGATTCATCAGTAACGGTCCTTTCCTCTCCTCTGGACACTTGACAACGTTATAAAGTCGGAGAAGGCGTTCGTTGTGTTAGAGAATTCAGAAAAAGCATTCCGGGTTGCTCCCAGCAGACGATTTTTCAGCCTCGTTTGTATGGTCGGATTATCCTTCCATTTCTACCTTAAGGAGATTGGGCAGTCCCATTTTTCCAGGTGGGTGGGTGATTATGTTTGCCTTCTACCCTTGAAAGGTGCATGGAGGACTGTTTTTAAATGATAATTGGACACGAAGGGTCTGGAGCCAGGATCTCTGGGCTTGCCACTCCAGCTTCATACTAACAGTGTGGCTTTGGGCAAGCAGATCAAACACATGTGTTTATCATTAGAATTGGGGAAGTAATGATAATAGCTATGTAGAAAATAATGCCCAGCCTTTAGAATTGTTGAGATGGTTAAATGAGTTAATACATGCAAGCAAGTAGAAACGATTCATAGTACACATGGCTCTCCGAATGATCATTTAGGGTTCAGTTATACTTTCATATTTGAAGATTTATCGTTGGTGGCTACCTTCTAAATTATGAATTGTAGGGCCTAGGAATGGCAACTTTGTTCACAGATGAAGATGTTTGTTTAGAGAAGCCCAGGTCGTTGACTTTGTGGCTGTCCTACTACCAAGGGGGATTTGTTCTATAGGCCAAATGAGTGCATACATACTTACTTGCACATGGATTTTTATTGCAGTATTGTATATAGTAATTTGCAACCTAAATGGCATCCAGTGAAGGGAATGTTTAAATATATTTTGATGCACTCTCACAAAGAACAGATAGAATAATGTAGACACTGGAAAGAGTAAGATAATTAACATGCATGCTATAGGAAAGTTTTGTGTCTTCTACATGCTAGGAGTTTTATTGGGCTTTCTTTAAATAGCTTCAGTGAACTTGTCTATTGATGGTTTATATTTTGCCCAAGAAAAGAGATGATTTTTGAAGACTGTATAGCAGCCAAGGCTTAAATGCAAAGATGGGACCATAGTGTCAATCAGAATAGAATAATAGCTAAGAAATGAGTTAGAAGATTATTTGAAAATATGTTTACAGTTACAGTTCTACCTGGGAGAAAAAAATAATGAACATTATAATTAAAATCACAGGTTTTCTAGATTCTCAGCTTTTTTTTTTTTTTTTTTTTTTTTTTGGTTTTTCGAGACAGGGTTTCTCTGTGTAGCTTTGCGCCTTTCCTGGAACTCACTTGGTAGTCCAGGCTAGCCTCGAACTCACAGAGATCCGCCTGGCTCTGCCTCCCGAGTGCTGGGATTAAAGGCGTGCGCCACCACCGCCCGGCTAGATTCTCAGCTTTTATTGATAAAATCAAGTGTAAAATCACAAGGTTTGTGGGTATATTGATATCTGACTGATACTACATATATTAGTGGAGCTGTGATAAGTTTCTTCAAGTTTTTCTTTTCTCTTTATGGTTTTTCTTTCAAGATGCTCTCACTATGTAGCTGTAGTTGTCCTGGAACTCACTCTGTAGATCAGGCTGGCCTTGAACTCACAGAAATCCACCTGCCTCTGCCTCCCAGGTTCTGGGATTAAAGGCATGTGCCACTCTATGCCCAGCTAAGTTATATTTATTTATTTTTAACTGCACATTGGGATGATTATGGGCACTACTTCATAGTCCCATTGTGAGGATAAAATAATGCGTTAAAACCCACTTAGCGTAGTTCTTAGCTCATAATAAATACTATGTTATCCTTATTGAATAAAAATATGTTTTATATTAATGATACTCTTGCGCTTCAAATATTTTAGGACTTATATAGAAAAGTTTTGGTAAGAAAATTGAGGTGTGGACTTTTTTACATTTTAGAGTTGATTCACTATAAATAATTTTTAATTTTCTTATAATTACATAACATTTCTGAGGCCTAGTATGTTAGGGCTTCCCAAACCATCTCCAGATTTAGTGATTAGGTAGAAGGGCTCACAGGACTCAACTCATACATTGTCTTATTTGTTAGCTATAATTCATAGTGAAGATATGCAAAGCAAAGTCATGAAAGTAAAAGACCATATAGGGTACATCCAGAGGAAATCAGGCCTAGTCTTCCAAGATCCTCTCCCAGTGAAATTACATAGGACACACCCAATTTCTCAAGCAAAACAGTTGTGATAACACCTGTGAAGTGTTTTCTACTGGGAAAGCTTATTAGATACTCGGTGACCAGAATTTTTGCTGGTTTGTGTGTTGAAAGATTGGTCCTTAATGTCAAGGATAAGAGGTGGTGGAACCTTGAAGAGATGAGGCCTAGTGGGAAATAATTACATCATTGGCGGCACCACCCTCAAAAGAATTGAGTTTTTGTAAGAGTTTTGATAGTCCTTATATAAAAAAGTAAGTCTGCCCCCTTCTCAGTCTCTCTTGAATATCTTGTCTATATGATATCTTCCATTCATGCTAAGATACCATCTGTCATGTGGCAAAACCAAGACAGCTCTTGCCAGAGCACAAGGCCCTTGAACTTACAGAACTGTGAGCTAAATAAACTTCTTTGTAAAATACTCCATCTCACGTATTTCATTAAGTATTGAAAATCAGATAAAGTATATATCAGAATTCTTGGGCTCTAAAAGAAAAGCAGATGTTTACCACAAACCATTATTTTTATAACAGTTTTAGGCACAGTGATCTAGGTGTATAAGAGAACAATAAAAATCCTGAAATTCACATTCTAGATACTAGCCAAGGGCTAGCCTTGTAAGCTGATCTTTGAGGAAATAGCCATATGAAGCCTCTTTCTACAATCTGTTTCTCCTGTATGAATTCTATCCTAGAATTGTGTAGACAGAGAGTGAATGTAAAGCTAGCACAATTTCTGATTTTTTTTAGTACATTTGACTGTTGGTTGGTTGATTTGTTTTACTTTGTTTTTTTTTTTATTATGTTAAAACACAGGTAGTAGGGAAAAAAAATGAAGCCAACAGGTACAGACCCAAGGATCTTGTCTTTAGCTGCTGAAGTAGCAAAAAGTCCTGAACAAAATGTCCCTGTTATATTGTTGAAGTTAAAAGGTAAGAAAATACTTTTTTTTTTTTGGTTTTTCAAGTCAGGGTTTCTCTGTGTTGTTTTGGTGCCTGTCCTGGATCTTGCTCTGTACACCAGGCTGGCCTCGAACTCACAGAGATCTGCTTGGCTCTGCCTCCTGAGTGCTGTGATTAAAGGCGTGCGCCACCACCACCCAGCAAAAATACTTTTATAGTTAGAAAAGACATTAAGTAAGTACTGGTTCTATCATGATATGGTGTTAGTGTTATAATTTGTTTAGAGAAATCTTAACACTGAGGAATAACGTTTTCCTTATTGCCATATTTTTAATGATCATAACATATAAATCTCTTAAGTGTGTTGAGCAAAATTAAGTATATCTTTTCTTTTGCCTTAGAAATAATAAACAACACCCCATTGGGAAGTTCAGAGTTGAAGAAAGTCAAACAAGATATATATTGTTATGACCTCATTCAGTATTGTCTATTGGTCCTCAGTCAAGATTGTTCTCGAATCCAGGGTGGTTGGACTACAATTTCCCAGCTTACACAGATCCTAAGGTAAAATGAAGCTAATAGATTAGCTTGTTCTAATTTTCAGTATTTCTTTTTATTTGTCACTCTAATAAGAATTAGAATCTCCTCTGATATGTTTGGTTGTACTTTTCTTTTACACTGTATGCTATTGTTTGTAACTCCAGTAGCAATTGATTGTCTTTGGATTTCTTTCCACAGTGATCATTTCTTTTGTTTACTACTTGAGTCCCAACTGGCTAATATATTCCTATTGACTCGGAAATATTTGAAGAAATGAATAAATTAAAACTCTGTACTTGAAAAACTAACAGTAGAGATTTTGCAGCAGTGGTACTTGAATTAGGTGCCAAAATAAATGTATATAGCAAAGAA